TAACATTCGTCAGAAAGAAATGTCACAACTCGCTGTGATTTTAAGCAGATAATCACCTCAAATCCAATTTCCACATAAAAACTCTTAAATCGTTTACCTTTGTTCTTAACTGCCCTGTGGTCGGTTTAAGCTCAATTTACAAACTGTATTAAGATTTTATTGGGAATAGATAGAACTTACGAATGGATTCATAGAGAGTTTTAATTTAAAATTAACATGCCGATGTTAGACTCGTCATTTACCTATCCAGCAAGAACCACACCGGGAGTAGTGCTGAGTCTCATCCTAAAACACAATAAGTAAAGACTAGAGTTCTGGATGAAAGCTAGCCGCCGAATGTCCTGGTACATTGCCCCCGTAAAGTGGAGAAGGGTTGGATCGTTGAGGACCACCAGCGATGATATTGGCCGAAATGGTAGCCACAAATGCAGATGCGGCAGTGGCAGGACTAGACACTGAATTGCCAGAAGAGTGAATGTCCAGCGGGCCTAAAGCAGCGGTTGAGGAAGCAACTGTGGTCTGAAGGCCAGAGTCACAGGAATTGAGAGAAAGTTGGTATCGATAGAGCTCGCTGCAAACGGAATGTCCAAAGTTGAACATGTAGACGAGTAGGAGGTGCCAAATCTGGTGGCTGGACCCGAAGAAATCAAATTTGCCTTTAAAGAGATTGAAGATGATAGAGCAATGTGAATTATTAAGAGTAATTATTTTTGATGGGGGGAGGGAAGTTCCCTCTTATCCCACATGATATTGAAGACATGTAATTAAATATGATCCATGAGATTGATTCATCCCATTTCGTTTAAGCTGAAGAAAAATTGGTAGTTGAGTTTTCCTAAAATGATACAGGCATACCTTATGTTTCCATTTAATTCCACATAGCCTTGCTTCTCAAAAGATATTCTCATCAAGGCAGGAGTGGACTGCATCCTCGATTTCATCTAGTTCTCATTAGCACCTCCAGCACAGCTCGAACCATAACAGTGCAGATTAGATATGACGTTGCTTCATCGACAATCCCAGCACAAAATTTGATATGGGAAAATGCCCGAACTTCCTTGAAATTCACATCTGACCTGTGACCCAAGAGCACTGGTGGCAGCATGGCGTAGTGACAAACGTGTCGAGATTACACCTTGCACTGTCATCGTTCGAGTCCTGCTGGAGGTGCTGGTGAGACGAGTTCAGGCGAGGTCAAAGCTGAAATCCAACCTGCATGGGAATAACTTTAGGGAAACAAGGTTATGTGAAAGTAAATGGAAGCTTGAGGTCTACTCATATCATTTAGGGAAAAGTCAACCACCAGCCCTTCAGCATCTCAAACGAACTGGGGTGAATAAATTCATATATCTGACTTGTTGGTAATCCCGAAACCTCAATTGCAAACGAAAAATAGGATTTACATAAGTCATATTCATAATCATGGTTCTTTGATGCAAATCGGTTTGATTGTAGGGGAAATTTGCTCCTGTTCCCTAAAACGGATTATTCCACGGTGCATTGAGTCGTTAAAGATCCGCGGGGATTTACCACCAAAAGAATTGGCAGATCGAGAAATATGGCGTTAAAAAAATTCAATGCACCATTTTACCTGGAGAGGGCTTATAGTACAAGGAGCATCACTTTAATCTACAACAAGCCCAAACAACATTAAGAATACGAAGATATGAAAACCAAGATGGTGTGGTCTCTGGTGCGGTCTCAGTCTCCTTTCGATGCATAGAAGTGGGTTGAACTCGTTGTCGCAAGTTGGTCTTGTTGTCAGGACGACTTAGTAGAACGCACCTAGTCCGAAGTCGTCTGCCATAGTAC